CCCGCATTAATTTTTTTTTATACATGTGGGGCTCTCGCTACAGTGAGGCCCCCTGTATAAACCCGATAGAAAAAGCCCTGTACACTGGGTTTTTCCCAGTCAAAAAATGAATTCAGTCACGTGGAGGGCAAAATTGACGACTGTATTAAAATTTACTTAAAGGCACATCATAATTTAATTGTAGTTAAACTTTTCAATTTTTATTCAGTGTAATAATTATTTTCTTAACTTTTTCTTAGTTCAATTTTTATCTTCAACATTCCATTAATTAGGAAATGTCGTCCTTGATGAAGATTTATATAAAAATATTTTATTTTCATGTTTTAAACCGACGGAAATATGTCTTTTCACACTTTTTATTTATTTGCTTTTTTAAAAATAGGATGGGAAAGTAAGTTGTTTAAGTCATTTCAACAGCTTTTAAACATAAAACTGTTATCAAATACAAAATACATTAACAAATGAAAAGTTTGAGGATAGGAATGATATGAAAAATCGTTAGGAACATAAGCACAAATATAATTACCCAAAGCAATGTTCTAAAAAGCATAAAAAAGAATTTGTTGTTTTTAATTTTTAATCATCCTAAAAATTATTTACTAATTAAAATAATCCTTACCAAACATCTAGAATTATAAATACTATATTACTTAATAATCACTACAAGACGAGTCCTATTTAACAGATTTATAGGTGCTCCGTACAATCTTTCGAAATTAATAGATTTTCATTGTTTCGTAAAATCATTGAATAAGACTTTGTTTGATTCCTGTTTTTGTCAAAATATATTTTTCTTTTTTCTTTTTAACCATACATTCTTCATTAAAATAATATTACATGTAAATCTAGAATTTTTCCTTATTTTTCAACCACACATTTTCCATCAATCTACTATTTTAAAATGTATTTTTCATAAATATGAGACTCAAACACCCTCTAAATAGTCTCAAAAGCTTGTTTAGAAACTAAAAAGTCGTTCATGTGTGTGGCATAAGTGATCAATACTTGTATGGTTCCGTGAAGCTAATCCCATTGAAAGGTAATTTTGAAAAAAAATAATAATTTGAAATAGTGATTTTTTAGATAATATGTAGTTAAGAAATAAGGAAAAAATTTCGATTTATATGTAATATTATGTTATGGAAGAATGTATAATTGAAAATGAGTTTTGAGATAATGAGAGCCAAATATAGGTTAATATATAATGGGGCATTGGCTGTTACTCCATCCAAAAGTCAAAATCACAAGTGTTGAAAACCCAACATTACTAACACAAAAGAGTTTCTAGAATGGGAAACGAAGATAAAGTTGCGTGATGGCATTCCTCACATGGAGAAGGATTTTAACAAATTACGAGAATAATTTTGGTTTAGAATTACATGGCCTTTAAAAGCTATGCTTGAATGAGAGGTGTGCATCACTTGTAACCTTGTACCCAAGAAAAGCTATACATTCACAGTTATGCCATTTTCCACAATTCACTTGCAATAAATACAATGTTTCCTTGTACCTTGTTCAGTAGAAGAGAAAAACAGACCAAGATAGCGAAAAATGAAACCTTGAGATCTTGATAATGCTATCAATGTCTCGTAGACTAGCTTCAGCGTCCTACGATCTTTTGAATGGTACGAAGATCCACTGGCTAAAGCAAATGCATTCTCCATCATGTACGATGCCAACTGCAAACGAGCCATCCATCTTCCTAAGCAGAGGCATTTAAACATCTCATCCTAGATATTCACCAAGTTTATCCCATCTCGGGGCTTGAAAACTCGTTCTCCATGAAATGCTGATTGAATTTGTGCAACCATAAAGATTGCCTCCTAGTATGAAAGCCCAGCTTCAGAACCCCTAATATGGAGCAAAGAACCTTTCCTGTTGCAAGACAAAGTAAACATTAAACCTCAGCATATCAAGAACAAAAATCAGCCGCAATAACTCTCTTAACATTTTCTCTGTTGTCCCAGCCTACAGGGTGAGGCCACGAACTCAGCTCGAGCCGTTTCAAAGAAGAGAGATTCAAATACTGAAATTTCACTTGTAATACAATGGGTGAAATCTCAAGCAAGGATGAATCAAAACCTTTCTTTTCTTAAGATTAGGCTTGTCTCATATGAAAAATCGAACTTGGAAGTAATAATGAACCAATGAAATCCAAGGCATTGAACCATGAAGTTCATTTAAATTCAAACGAGCTAATTCAGATTGAATATTTTTTTTTGAATCTCAAATAACAGAAGACTAGTTTACATATATATATACCACAAATAGTTCTTTTACCCAGATGGAACTTTTATTCCAATTTCTTCAAGGCATAACAATGAGGAGCCAGCTCAGCTAACCACAAGTAATCTATTCTAGAAATGTTTCGAATATAATTATGATTAGTTCAGACTAATTCATCAAAAATTAAGCACTCTGGTTTCATCCGGAATAAAACAGACGACGGATGGATTTGCACCGTAAGACCACTTGACAAAGCCCTGTCATAGCACAAACAAGATGCATAAATTGATTGTTCTCAAAGGATATTGTGATCTTAACAAATATAGGTATTACCTCTGAAGTAAATTAAATCACCATGGGAAGTACTGCCAAAAATGTATTCTTTTACCTGTACGTACCATCAGGCTGCTTCAAAGCTGCATTAAGAAAAAAGGAAGCAGCTAGGCACCTGCGAAAAGGAAGCATGTCGTCTCCACATGAAGTGACACGGAGACCCATTCGTTCTGCATTCCTCTGTTTTTGACTATAAATGAAGTGCCAAATGAACCTTAGAAATAGACATCTAGAGAAACTTTATTCGGAGAAAACCGCTAAAAGAAAAGGAGGAAATAATGCCAAAAGAATATTGTATAGCCTGTCTTTAAGATATCACAGTTTGAAACTAAATCTTAGGAAGCCTGATAAAATGGACATGTTAATACATTATAGAGCAATTTCAATTAAAAGAAGTTTATAATCAAGAGTATTATTCAGGTAACTGCGAGGTTTACCATTAATTTCTGGCCAAGTGGGCATTACCAACCTGTGGATGTCACGAGCATGCTTTAGGGACCAGCCATTGATAAAATTTTCCTTGCACCATTTTCTGACATTTTTTTCAGCTTTTTCATTGCTGTTCACTAAGTTGCTCTTCTACAAGAACTCATCAGAAGCACGAAATACATTCAGCAAAGTCAAATGATCCCCCTCCGGACTTGAGAAGCGCCTCAAAGCAATTCAAGACTGCAAAACAGAAAGGAGTTTTAGATATCTGCTCGCAAAGAACTAGCTGTGAAGTATTGCATTAAGAAAATAAAGTGCATCCACCAAATCCCAAGGTTAAGACAAAATCTCTCTAAATAGATATATATATATTTGCCAGACAAACATTCTGTTAAAATCCTGTGCATATTGTACCACTGAGTCGAGCGATGTCTAGTAGAGTGCACCAAACATGCTCTTAAAGCACATATCATCGAACGCAATACTTTAGAAGGTCATACATCCATACCTCTTCCAACTTTTCACAGGGAGCATAGTAGATAGATTCCACAGAAAGCATTGCAACAACTATTAACATTTCTTCCAAACAATCAAATTCACAGCAATAATGAAAGCCTAGGAATAAATAGGATCCAGTGGAAGCCTGGCCATCTTTTGCCCAAATGGATCAGACAATTTACTTTGCTTCTGTTAGAGCACCTAACAAGAATAACAACTCCATCGACTTGATGATAGCAATCCTATACAGATATATAGGAGGCATGGTTTGACAAGAATACTATAAATTTTCTGTCTTTTCACTCGATGATCCACATTGTGAGAATTCCTTTGTTTAAATAGGAGCAATAGATCTCGTTACAATGCTGAAATTCAGCTATCACTGTACTGTACATAGAGACACTAAATTCGTACCAATTACAGTGGAAATCTACAGTTAATATACAAGGTATTTTTTCTCAATTGTTGGCTGTAAATAAGTTTCCTTAAATTCGTGCAGCACATGTCCATATCCAATTGACATCCCCCCTCAAATTAATGTTGGGTGGTCAATAAGCATCAACTTGCTAACAAGAAAGAGATGACATTATCGTGTCAAGGCTTTGGTGAATCGGCGATCTGAAGATTAGTGGAGATATGCGGAAGAGAAATAATACCAGTATCGAAAGCCTCTCTAATGGAGTGACAATCCATTTCGATATACTTTGTACACTCATGGAATACCGGATTAGCAGTAATCTGAATAGCATGTGTGTTGTCCGCATGAAGAGGAGTAGGGTCAGACTGAGAGAAGCCAAGTTCAGCTAACAATCCACGAAACCAAACAATCCCAAAACAAGCAACGGACATGGCACGATATTCAGATTCAGTCGATGATTTGGACACTTGGACCTGCTTTTTACTTTTCCAGGAAGTTAAAGAATCACATAGAAACATACACCACCCTGTAACAGAATGACGAGTATCAGGACACCCAGCCCAATCCGCATCATTGAATGTCACAAGATGAATATGAGAGCCAGCAGGAAAAACAATCAACGACGAGAAGTACCCTAAAGATACCTAATGATGCGGCGAATAGCCCCAAGATGGAGATGTCGAGGAGCTTGCATAAATTGACTGACTTGCTGGACAGCGAATGGTATATCGAGTCTAGTGATGGTCAAGTAATTGAGGCTCCCAACTAATTGCCGAAAGATAGTGGGGTCAGGAAGAAGATCACCCTCCTCACAACGATATTTTTTTTTATCGATCTCCTCACAACGATATTTTACATTTAGCTCAAGAGGAGTATCGAC